TGTCCCCGTAAGGCCACTGTTAAAGCAAAGGCAGTGGGGCGCCTCCTTAGGAGACCTCCTCTCCAGGTGTTCCGATCCGAGTCACGGCACCAAATTTGTTGTAAGTTGAGGCGAATAATTTGATTCAGCCTTTTAAGATCAATTAATAATTTTATTAATTACAGCAAGCGATAGCAAGCAAAACAGCGCTGGGTTCAGCTGGGAGCCTGGCTCCGCCAAAAGCTGACAACCTTTCTTCTCTTCAGTCCCTTTTTATCTTGCATAAGTGAGGGTGATGGGTCTCCTTCCACCGTGGTTATCAGTTCCAGCAACAATGGGTTTCACAATTGGGGGTGGTGAGTCTCCTTCCACTGGGTTATCAGTTTCAGCAACAATGGGTTTCCACTGCGGTTATCAGTTCCAGCTAGTCCTGCAAAATCTTTCACAATCTTTGTTTGTGGTTACCAGTCAAGCCTGCAAATTCCATGTCCCGACTTCCCCCCCTTTTATCCTAATTTCATACTTTTGATGAACAAACAAGTCAATGCAGTTCCTCACATTTACTTTTCAAGTAAACCCAGTATTGCTACATGGTAGTGACAACTGATTAATGTCATGTTGATAGTTACTGAGGGGCTTTTAAAATTTTCACATTTAGTTAAATATTACTCCGTAGACTGAAGTAACAGTTGTCTAAAACATTGTGTTGAACATCACCTGTGATCAAATATATTCTAACTGTGTGTATGTGAGCCAACTGGGGATGATTTTTTTCACAGGCTGTTGGAAGACTATACTAGAGCCATAGAAGGAGTAAAAAAGCATCTTCTTCAGAGATCAGAACCCAAGAAGCTTACTTTTGTAGGAGAGCTTGCTCATGGCCACTTCAGTGCCAAGATGGTAAGAAATACAGCTGCAAAAGAAAACAGAAAACCACTACAAAATTTAAATAAAACACACCACAGAAGCAAATGCAAAGCTTTTCCTTCTCAAAAAACAAAAACAAACCCCAACAAAAACAAGCAAACAAAAAAACAAACAAAAACCCTAAACACGAGATGATACATACATGTACATCAGTCCAGTGTGATGGCAGTAATGAGCAACTGCCTTGTAGATACATATATGTAGACACTTGCACACTCGTATTTTCAGATTTGTCTTCAAAGAAGCATATCATCTAATACTGTATTATGGGGTTAAAAAAGAAATTAATAATTTTGGAGGTTTCTGTCCACTCATGACATCTTTATTTTCCTACCTGGAAGATTCTTGGGTAAAACAGTATGCTGTTTGCTGTCAGGAGAATTGATTGATCTTAACCCTCTGTTCCCAATTTGTGTATTTTAAGATCTTTCAGTTAAAAATCTCATGCAGTGCAGGTATTGTATATGTGTGTGGCTTGTCTGAAAGACGAGTGATGTATTATTAATGTATGTATACCCTTTCCTGATGTATTATTTTTAAGATATTCAGTTCTAGTTTTCAGAATGTGCTTCTTGGATCTGAATTTCCAAAAAGCTCTCCAAAAAGCCTGCTGTGAGTAAGACCAGAGTCTGGGGCTTGGGTGGAGGGGGCTGCCCCATTCCAAGATAGAACAGAATTGAATTGAGACATACAGATTTGGCTTTGTTGTCTGTACATGTCAGAACACTTCCTTCTGTTTCAGGGAGTCAGAAATTTCATTTTAATCCATTATTATTGGGTGAAAGTCTGGACAGGTCTCTTGCCCTGTCCAGCTGGAACAGTGGGGGATGTTTGGCTCCCATGTCTATGCTGACCTTTACAACCCTCCACTTTCCTTAAGGACTGGACAGAGATTTTAATAGTCCATACAGGGGCATCAGAGTGGTTTTACTACGTTTTTGGGTGATGAGACCTGAGCTTTGATTCTGAATCAAAGATCCTATACGTGACATTAATCTGCAGTGCTTACTTTCTTACATCAGTGGTAGATTAGCTCCAGAATGAGGACACCAAGCCTTTAGTTGATGCCCTGCATGAGCTGATATAAAATTTGGTAAACCAAAAGACACTCTCCTTCCCCTCAACATGACCTGAGACCTTTTTTTCAGAAACTTGTCATAAAACACATTCTTGTAAGTTTTTGAAATTAACAATTTCTGTAATGCTGCCTGCCTCATGTTACGTTACATGAGATTGTTAAAAAGTTATCCTCAAGTTGTTGGTATCACAAGTGTGTTTTGAAGAAGAAAAAGAATAAAAAATTAAAAAGATGGTGACCCCCTTACTTCCCCTTGCTGTTTGATATGAAACTTCTCAGTAAGAGTTGTCTTATCTTGCAGGATCACTTGGTTTGCTTCTTGCCGGGTACTTTAGCACTGGGAGCTCACAATGGACTGGCTGCTGATCACATGAAATTGGCTGAAACTCTTATAGAAACCTGCTACCAAATGTATGCTCAAGTAGAGACAGGCCTGAGCCCAGAAATTGTACACTTCAACCTCCATGCACAGAAGGGCCACAAGGATATAGAAATCAAGGTGAGCAGATAGCTGGCCTGAACTCCAATTCCATGATTTCTCTGTAGCTCTATTCTGCTGTTGAACTCCTGGCCAGATATTAGAGATGGGGTTTGTTGTGAAGCAGCCAATTCTTTCTCTGCCTTGCCTTTTAGCTGTGCCCTAGGCTTTGGTTTTAGTTACCCTGGCAGTATATTTAGAAGCTGACTTATGCGTAGCAAACTCTTGGGAACAGATGGAGATGTGAATAATTATTTTTCTCCCTGCATGTATCCATGAGGAAATTCCCTGTCTAAAATACTCCTGCCACTTTTTCTTTTGCAGCCTGCAGACAGGCACAATTTATTGCGACCAGAAACTGTGGAAAGTCTTTTTTATATGTACAGATTCACTGGTGATAAGAAATACCAAGACTGGGGCTGGGAAATCTTGCAGAATTTCAACAGATACACCAGGGTAAGGCCAGTTTATTGTTCTGTCAGGACTGTATTTGCTCACTTGCTTTCTAACACCAACTTTGAAAACATACTACATTCCCAGATTTATCAGATAAATGTGGGGGAATTTGTAAGTATATACAGAAAAATTGTTTTCTTACAGATGGAGATACCCTGCTTAATCCATATAGTGAAAGAACTTGTATTACATTGATGAAAAAGTGAAATGCAGAAGCTGTAGGCAAGACCACCAAAGTGTTAGAATCTGTAGTTTTTAGACTGCAAGATGCTGAGAAGAGCATGGCTGGACTGAAAGAACTCTTCAATTAAAGTTGCCACAGGAAAAAGAAATAGCACAAAATGGCATTAATGGTTTAATAGAAGATTTTTTTGTTCATTCTGACTACAGTGCTTATGGAGATGTCACTGATATGCTGTGAGAGTGTGGTACCAAATATCAATGGTCTGTTCTTAAGAGAAATGGATACAAGACTTGGGTCAGCTCTAATGTAAAAATAGCTGGTTCCTTTCTGTATATTTGTCCAGAAGCTTCAACTTCAAAGGGATGAATACCTTTGTGATACCTCTCTACCCCGAGCACAAATGGATATTTTGCTTCATTTATTGTTGTGGTTTATTTTAAAATGCAATGGGATTTTTTTTTTTCATTACTGGAGTTTTATATGTAAATGAAAACTAAGTATGAAATAAAAAGCATGAAAACATTATCTGTTTTTAGCACTTATCTTCTCCAAGTGCATCTGGATGTTAAGAAGTAAAAAATTATTTTAGGTTATGGAAAAATACAATTTTTTCTTTTTTTTTGCAGGTTCGTACTGGTGGTTATACTTCCATTAACAATGTTCAGAATCCCAGTAATCCAGAGCCACGGGATAAAATGGAGAGCTTCTTCCTTGGGGAAACACTTAAATACATGTTTCTGCTGTTCTCGGATGACATAGACTTAATCAACCTTGACAAATACATCTTTAACACAGAGGCTCATCCACTCCCTATCTGGGTACCAGCATAGACTCTGCATCAGTGGATCTTCCAGTGGTGGCATTTTTATCTTCAAGTCACTTTACTTTTCAGGGTTTGAGGAGAGATGCTATAATGCACCTTTTTTGACTTCAAACAACAGACAAAAGCTTGGGAAAAGCATTTCTGGTTTGAAGAAATCATGTCAGTCTTAAATCTAATCTCTGTTTCTGGGATGGGCAAAGCTGTGCCATATGAAGCTGGTTTCCCTGGTATTGGTGATGAGGTTCAGAAGGTAATTGTAGTATGGACCATGACATTCTCGGGGCTCTGATGACCCACCTAACTGATGGTTCACTTAGTCAGTGTTACTAAATTCTCATTAGTTATTGGGAATGCAGTGAATTGGCTTAGGGCACAGTGTTGTTCCTGGAGAGTAGGAGTAAGCCTCCAGTTTTGTGGTTTATTCTGGATTCACTGAAACACTGGATTACAGAGCCATTCCTTTGTCAAACTGACAGTGGTTCAGATGCAATGTGGAATAAATAAAGAGTTGTAGTGCTGTCTCAGGGAGAAGCTGTCAGTATTGCTGCTGGTACTCTGATCTCATTCCAAACTCCCAAGATATGCTGCATCATGGTAGGAGAAGAAAGACACAATAGAGCATCTGTTGTATAGTGTCTTAGTTTTGTAGAGCACTTGGAACAGTATTCAAGTTGTGGCTGAAATTAATGGTGAAAGAGAATTTGCTGCTGGTTTAGCTCAAAAGTGGTATATAATTTTGTAGAAGTATTGCAGTTTTATAACTTCCCTGCAGGAAAGCAGGAGATAATGTGAAATGCAAGAACACATGCATTTTATATCAGTTAGACTCAGGTATTCTGAGTGAAAGCTGCTTTCAGCTTTTCAGAGGTTGGGCACTGGGAAAGCTTGTGAGTGTATTAGGTATCAGCCTTCTTCCATCCCTTCCTGTTCAGATATCACATCATGGGGCTTTGTTGACTCAAAACTTACAGCTGTACAGCAAAGTTCTTGTTTTTAATTATTTCTTGGACCATGGAGAAATTGTCAGTTATTTTTTTCCTTAGGAGTACAGTGGGTATTTTGAGCAGTAGTGTTACAAGCAGACAGTCTACAGCAGTTCTAGGCCCCAGTAGAATTGGAGAAATTAATTTCAGTTACTTGAAGACAAAGTAGACTGAGGTTTTTTAAGAATCTTACAGGAGCCCTGTGATCTTCTATTTTTATAGGTACACACGTACAGATTTTAAGCCATGAATTTGGAAATTAACTTTCTAGAGTGCTTTTCTTTCTTGATTTGGACTTGGACAGTCCTGTATTCATGGATAAGGTCTCAGAAATGTGATAATTCAGATTTCCAGAAGAGGTTGGTCTTAGTGGGAATCTCTTTCTCCCATGGCAGTGGATGTTATTTAGTGGGGACTGGGGCAGGGCCAGTTCCCACTAAATCCAGGGGTCCCTGGCCATTAATGGAGCTGACTGAATTTGACTCTAATTGTTCATTTTCCAGTGGCTGAGGGAGGTATTTTATAGTAATTGTAATCTTTGATTTGTAAAGTAAGATGCATCTTTATTTCTTTTATGCTGATCCATTCTGTTTACTGGAGTTACAAGTTACTTTTGGGACCACTATTTAAGTCTTTTATATAGTATTTATCATTCCATGTACTAATGGAAATGGAGAAATTTTAGGAATTATTTAAATGCACATTCTTCTGTCATCAGAGGGACCCTGTCCTGGTATTGACAGGACATAACTAGTCAGTGCAGAATGTTATTGTTCCTCCCGTTCACATGCCAGCAGTAACTGAGAACAAGCTTCTCACTTAGAATTGCAGTGGAATCCTGTCACTATGGCCTCTGGCTACACAACTGATTTGCTGCCAGGGCTTCTGTTTTCTTTGGCACAACAACAAATGAGGTTAGTGCAGCAGAAATGTGGAAGGAAGCATCTTCAGTTTTTTTGTTCATGAAGCAGGTTTGTGCTGCTGAGAAGCTGAGTTTTGGCTAAAAGCTAAAGGCTTAAAATTGGAGACTAAAGAAAAAAATTAAAAATATAAATTCAGTGACACTACCCAGGTCCTGCTGACCTGTGTTGCTTTGGCCGTGTGCCTTTGAACAAAGCCAGTTTTGAACCTTTAATTATGACTGTACTATGGATTGTAAAAATTCCAGGGTTTGGTGTTTCACCAGAGAGCTGCCTGACTGAGGCAAGAGAGATGTCTTAGAAAATGGAGTACATATAAATGCTTACCAAAAATCTTCTGGTTTTGAAATTGTATGCAAGTCTTAATGTAATCGATTCTACAAATGGGACTATGGGAGTCTGTGTGATACTTTGCCTTACAACTGGCTTGAGAGTAATAATTAATTTCCTAATGAGATGAAGGAGAGAAGAATAAACTGTCACTTTCCCAAACATGTCTTGTCTTTTAGCTGAGCCTGTTGGTCCAGGTGATTTCTATCTAGTTCCTCTTGGGACATGCAGTCTTCTCAAAATGTGGCTTTACTGTCCTCAGCCTTTAAACCTGAGGTTCAGATTGTTAGCTCTCACTCCCTTTGAGAACAAATGTTTGTTTCAGATGTCTATGTCACTTGTGAAAGGGCACAAACGAAATAATCTCAACAAAGCTCATCTGTACTCCCTGTTCTTCTGCAGAGGTAATTTTAATTGTTTTTTTATTTTAACTTCCTTAACAAACTGTTGGGTCAGATCAGTCTCCGAGTTCCACAGCCTGTATCTGTTCCATAATGTGCTCCTCCAGTGCAACTGAAGCTCAATTTGTGGCTCCTTGTTCAAAAGCTTGAAATGCTGGGTCCATAATCCACTTTGGTGTTTCTACATGCTGGGACACTTTTGGCTTAAGTGGAGTGTTGTGGGAAGGCCACCACTGAGCCAGGGATTCTGTCCTTCACAATAGAAAGCCTTGGCTTTCACTGAGAAACAGAGCTGGGCATGGGCAGAGCACAGAGAACTGCAGGGCTGTGGACTTGGGACCATCTCATACTTGGGGCTTTGAGCCACATTCAGGAAATACTGACGTATATGCTCAAAAAAAAAAAAAATCAGCAGATGGATGGGGCACAGTTACCATCTAATCCCTGAACTTTTGAAAGCTGAATTCTCATTACAGGTCTTCAGAAACTGGCAGTTTTGCAAGGTCCCTGGTGTTGGCTGACAGGATCCTTGTGTTTTGCAAGACTTCAATTTAACAGGATTTTCAGCAATCCATGCCAAGCTCAGGTACAGCTCTGTTTACTCCTCCAAAGAATACCCCTTGTTTCCTGTTCCATGCATGTGTGATGTTGGCGGTGATGGCAGATGAAGACAGGAAAGGTTTTTGCAGTAACACATTTACAGTTTTGTCAATTTTTCCTGTGCTGCAG